TTTGATAAATCAAACTTAGATCATTTGATCAAACAGAATTCATAATTTTAAATATCAAAGATCTACAATATTTGGTTGCAAAGATATAGAAATTTCAAAATCAGAGTTTGTGGCAAAGACTCAATTCCTTTTAACCAATAAAAGTTCTAAAAAAATAAAAAAATTTTAAAAGTTTTAAAAGTTTTTTTTGGGAAATATTGTAACCCACCCATTCAGTTCTCATACGGACCCAGAGCTAAGATGTAACCAGTCTGAGCACAATAGCTCAAAATAGGGATAGGATTTATCAGATCAGCTGGAATTAAAGTAAATGCAGATAAAACATTTCTTTTCAGGACCGATGTTGAATACCAAGGTCATCAGATCAGCACAGAGGACATCAGCCTCATACCTGCATAGGTGTCCAAAATTGTTGAGTGGCCCCTGCCGTCAACAGGAAAAGATCTCTACCCTCATGCAAAGGTAAGATATGATCCGTTGTTGAACTCCCCTGGCATTTGGCAACGGCAAATGGAATTGAGGGCAGAGGACAACCTTTTAATTGGTGCTATACAAGGTAAGATAGGCAAAGATCAGTATGAACTACAAAAAGGACAAACAAAGGATTGTCATGGGTACTGGAATATGGTAAAGTAGTCATGCAATTTGGAATCCTGTACCCTACTTACATCGCCATGCCCGTATCCGCTCACTGCACTCTCCTCTGCTCCGTCCATAGGTACTGGAATATGACGTCAGAGGGTACCAATCTTCCCCGTACCGTATCGACCTTTCATTCATGTGCAAGCTTCGTTGCGATACCTTATTGACTATCTTGAGGATTGTTCACTTAATTTGGTAAGAATATGGTTCAACAAGAATACAGGTAAAATTATTGATAAAAAAACGACACAGAAGAATTTGAGGGTGTACACAACTATGTAGTACAGCTGTACAAGGTAAGGAAACAGCTTAGGTTGACAAAAAAGTCCTCAATTGATATTTTTGTTGGAGGATGAATTTGAAGCCGAACCTCGACTCAGAATTGTCATCTTACCCTCGCACAGGTATCAAGCACTTTTAGCAGTACATGCACATGAACACTGGGGAGTCCAGCGGACTATGCAACGGGTAAGACTAGTGTTCTATTGGCCTGGCTGGAGAAAAGACAGAAGCATATTTGTTACAGAGTGAGCAGGTCGTCATCATAGAAAAGGAATTAATTTGAAAAATGTTGAACTTTCAAAAACCTTGCAAAAAATGTCAATGATGTCTTGTATATGGATCTTGTTGGTCCACTAATATTGTCTCCAGAAAAAAATGTATTCTTACATTAATGTGTCAATTTTCTAGATTCATGTCAGCAGTTCCAATCCCTGATAAGTCTGCTAAAACAGTCTCTACAGCGATCATGAAACACTGGGTCGGCCTTTATTGTGCTCCAACTTCAATTAGGACCAACTCGGGCTGCGAGTTAAAAAACTCAGTAATTGTAACATAAAGATAAAAGTGGGGACCCCATAACAACACAACTGCAATCCCAAAGATTTCACAGAACGTTATAATCTTTTTTAAAGGCAAAAAAAGCAAATGGGGAATGTAACTGGGAAAAAATTTTATTCACTTTGATTTTAGCTTACAACGCCACCCAAAATTATAGTACTTTATGCAGCCCAGCCCATGTTTTTTCAGGTATAGAAAATAATCTTCCCCATCTATCCCATATACCTAAGTTCAAAGAAGACTCACACATTATAAGAAAAACTCGAAATGATAATTAATGTCATGAGAAAAAGTGAAACAGTACGGATACGCAGACAATTCCGTGCATATTCTACACCAAGAGAAGATATAAACCTGGGTGACCTCTGCTTCACTGCGTTGCTTGCTGCAGTGGGTAAGTTGAGAAAGCTACTCCTGCATTGGAGCAGCCCGGCAGAAGTCACCAATATAATCAATTCAGCTTTGTTGAGAGTTAAAGAAGTCTATGTAAATCAACCTAGGGAGTACGTGGCACATCGATAAAAGTTGAGACTATGCAAGAAGTTGGGAGAAAAGGACTTGGATCCCATCTTCAGACTCCCCAGGCTCCCCAAAGAAGTCATGCTGCAGCTGTCCAATATGTTGTTGCTGGTGGAATTGCCGTGCCTAGTAGAAGACAGGCTTATCGATGAATTCTGCGATGATCTCGAAAATCACAAGGTTCACAGGCAGGATGAAAACTCATCTAATGGTTCAACAGTAATTCAACCAGTAAGCAGCAGACAGAGTGATATACAGGAAACCTCCGCGGTAGTACAGGAGGATGATTACGAGTTGTATCAGTCCTTTGATAAAACTATTGATGAATAAACCCACAGTGAAATTAGTTCTCCAAACCACAGCTTCAACCTTGATGGATTCAATTACAAATATGTTACAAGATAAATTGGTTGAAGAACAGTTAACCTCAAAAGCCTCTAGTGAGTCAGAACAGGAAAAACAGGAGGCTGAACTAAAACACAGACCAGGTGCAGAACCAGAAAAGAAACAGGTTCAAAGTAAAACAAGAGAATTAGAAATTACAGAACGGTACCTAAAGCAACGTCAACAACAAGATCTTCGGGAAGATCATCAGGGAAATCATCAGGTTCCAGAGAACGAAGGTCGACTGGAATCTCTAAACCATTGAACAAATTTGACCCATCTCCTTCAAGTAGGACACCGAAACTGAGAACACCAAAGAGAAAATCTCGCACAAGTTTACTTTCAGCAGTCAGGAACACGGGAACATGTTTCAGTTGTAAATACATTGTTTTCCTTTTTTTCTGTAGATTTACTCACATCAGTTTTTAGGCTTTAGATTTTCTTTATTTCATACCATCTTTATATAGTAACAATAGATATTCAATGACATGATGCCTAGTGTGAAAGTAGACAGCATAGAGATCCACAAACATATCATCATCAGTTTTTATAACAAATTCTGCTTGTTCACAGAACTGTGAAACCCAAAGATTCCCCATTATATTCTTGTAGGACAGATTACGATAAGTGTCCAAATAATCTCCTTTAATCAATGTGTATTAGCATGCAAGGTTTACATTGTAAACAGAAAAAAAAAAAAAAATCTTCAAAGACTTTTTAAACTTTTGTATTAAATAGTTGAAACCATAGATTAATTAACAATAACAAATAGGACACTAGATGTCATCTTTTCAAGATTTAAGGGTTTTTTGTTCACAATAATCCTGAGAAAGAGGCACAAAGGAGTTCCGCGTATGCTCTCTCTCTTTCTTGTAATTCAACGCCGCATGTGTGTAACTCCTTTGTGCTGCTGCCTGGGGTCATGTGAGGTCCCACAAAAAATGTTGGCCCGATCGGCAGTTTTGACATTTATTGGATGCAAACGAACAGACAGACACCCAGACAAGAAGAGCTTATATATATACTAGGCTTTTAGAGCGCTTCGCGCCCATCTTCTATTTTAATTGTTAAAATTTTCTCTTTGTATCTATACATTGTAAACAAAAAACAAAAAAATAGTTCGCGGATTTTATAAAAAAAATTTCGTGGATTCTCAAATTTAATGAAAATAGAATTTTTTTGGAGGCAAATTTTTAAAATTTTGATCATTCATAAACTTTCCCTGGGTTCATGTGAAGTCCCCCAAAAAATGTTGGTGCGATTGGTTAGGCAATTTTGACATTTTTTGGATGGAAACGGACAGACAGACAGACAAGTAGAGTAATGAATTTTCTAAAAATTACATTATCGACATTTTGAAGCACGTCCAATTTTTTTTAATCCAGCTTATGACAACATTTTGCTTGATTAGCAGCATGCAATACACTTAACCTTGAATAATGTCTTCATATTGCAAAGCTTCAGCCACCACACACTTCTGCTTTTCTAATTTTGATGGCATACCAAGCAAAAACACAAGTCTGAAATATTGGATTTACTGAACTGAATTAATTTTAAAACCTCCAAAATCAAAACATAATTAACTGCATACAGCACTGAAACCTTTAGTTCTACAAAAGTTCTACACTGCCTTTAAGGCAGCTATAGCAAGTTGTACAGTATTTGTACTTTTGACCTTGCTTATCAAAGGAATTGAGATTTTGTCACAAACTCTAACTTTCTGATCTCTATATCTTCAAAACCCGATTTTGTTGAGCTATGATATTTCAAACTAAAAATTCTGTTAGATCAAATAGTCTAAGTTTAAAATATCAATGGGTTAGACAATCAGGTTGCTAAGATATATGGATTATAATATTTGAGTTTGAAATGGTTAGGTTCTACTTTCGTAGCAGGCCTTAGAAGAATACTTCATCATCAGCCTATGGACGGGTTACTGCTATACATATACATCCCACTTCTATTTTGAATTAAGAATCTGGTAAATTATGGATCCAATGAACCAAGCAAGAAAAATCCTCCCAAAAAAACCTTCTTTGAACTATTGGATAAAATACCTAAAATGATCATCCTAGGGTAGTGGTGGTTAGTTACCAAGCTTTATATTAGGATAGAATAAAAGTGAAACGTGTTAATTTACAAACATATTTAGCTTCGAAAATAAAATAAAATAAAAAACTTTGCAATAAAAATAATTCATAAATACTGTATAGCAGCCCAGTGGCAAGGCTGATGCACATCCAACATCTCACCTTCGTAATACAATTTAGAAATATTTTCTTTTGTGGCAAAAACTCAATTCTTTTCAAAAAGTTCAAGATTTGATTTACCTTGCGTTAACTCCAGGTATTTCAGGTTTTCCCCAGGTCTCCCTGGTTTCAGATTCAGGTAACATTTTTTACATTTTGTAAAATGAGAAGTTTTTGATTTATTCCCGGATTCTATATGAAATATATATATCCACAGTGTACGTGAAAGTAAGCATTAAAGGAACTGTAAACTCAATTTCAAGTGACCCTCAATGCAAAGAGCGCAATGCTTGATTCATAATTGTACCCAATTGAGACCATTGATTGTTCATCAAGTAGAGAGATCTTTCTGTTTTAACATATCCAAACCCTCTACAATTCCTCTAAAAACGCGACAGTACGCTTTGTACAGTCTGAACTCAAACAGCTGATCTGGTTCTGTTCCCCCCCCCTGGAACATGGAGAAAAAAAAATTAAGAAAATATTTATGACAGAAAAAACCCGCCGTTTATAAGTACCTTATGATTTATTCATGCATTTTCAGCATCTGCAGGGCGTTTAACGGTCGTTTTCAAAAATTATTAAAACCCTACCCGCAGCCCGCCTGCCTTACACCGCCTGACAGTGCTTGCATCGGTACCGGTTCTTGAACCTGTTGCCCAGCAACCTCGAACACAGCTTAATGTCTCACTTGCCATGGAATCGGTTACATGCTTTTATGGCACAAGCCACCATTCTGGTTCTTGGTGGCTTAAATGTTCCCCCCTCTATGCATAACTGCGCCCAAATCTATTTTCTAATAAGCTTAAATGATCCCCCATGTTTCCCCTGAGAGGGGAACATAAAAAGTTGTGCCCGTTCCGCGCCCCCTACAAGTATGAAATACTATTAGACTAGACATACAGAGGAGTTTAAAAGGAAATATATTTTAGATAAAAAGGTTTTATTGAATTCCTGATTATGTTTCTAGCTTTAGTGTTCTCTACTGCTGACGCAACAATTGTCACCATTTCTAGAAAGCAATCCACACTCCACAGTTTGTCAAAGTTATCTTCATAGATTAATAACAATACAGATAGAACACTGGATTTTCAAGATTTAGGGGGTTTTCGTTCACAATAGCCCTGAGGCAGAAGCCCAAAGGAGTTCCGCGCAGGCAGCGGTGACTTACAAAACAGAGAGAGACCAATTGTGAATGAAAAACCCCTAATTCTTGAAAAGATGACATATAGTGTTCTCTCTGTGTTGTTATTAATCTATGGTGAAAGATATATTGAGGAAGCAAATAGTAACGATTAATTCAACCTTGACTTTTATCTCAGAAATTTGTCTAGCATTTTTAAAGTTGATTTCAACATATCCTTTAGTCAAACAGATATTACACATAATATTTTCCCAAGAGATTCAAAGGTGGTTAAAGCGCGGGCCTCTCCCCCACCCCATTCTTTATATAACAAAAGGGGTTTCATAAACACCATGTTCCGTTAACAGAATGGAGGTTTTAGGAAATTAACCGAAGAGTCTGTTAACGAACGGCAAAAACCGTTAACTCTTAAACCGTTAACGGAAATGATTAGAAGTTTTTACTTTTTAAAGATAAAATTAATGGTTGAAAACGAAAACGGAACAGATATTTTTTCAATGGTGATTTTTTTTCTGCTTTAAATTGCATTAAAAATATTTTTTACATGTTATGGTGTTTTTAAATGTCATCTTCTGTGTTCATAACTTTAAATGCTAAGAATAGATCGCGGTACCCATAGATAAAGATAGATTGCGCATAAGACGACATTTTTCATCTTGAAAGATATAAATGTACAGAGATGTTTTAAAGATATTCCTATTATAAAGATTAACTTGGTCGGTTGTGAGCATTGGCTGTTCTTATGTCATTGAGTACTTGTGGTGTACATGAGTTCTGTAGAGAGAAATTTAAGTTAGTTTAGTCCTTCTTCAGTTCTCGTTAATATGATAATTTGATAATTTGATATTCTCAAAATAAAATTCACTCCATGAGTGGTTTAATAATCATGAAATCCATTAAAACACCAAACCACCCCGCTTATCATTGAAGTACACTTAGACCCCTAGAAGTATGAGTTCGCGGACTGTACGATTCTTGGTGATTTTGCGTACATAAGCTATCTATGTTTATTTATTTATCTATGGCGGTACCTTCGAATTTTTAGTAAACAAATTTGGAGTTTTCCCAGCCGTGAAAGAATCTGGGTTCTCCTCAGAATAGGATAAATATTGTTAATTTGGATATCTAGAGATATTACTCAGTCCTTGAAAAAAGTATAAATATAGTTCAACTGCTAGTGCCGTTAACGATTTGACAAACCATTAACGCCACTAATACTACAAAAGACTGTTTACGGCTGCACCGTTAATGATTTCATAACCGTTAACGAATTTTTTTTCGGCGCTTCGCACTGTTAATACTGAAATAGACCGCTAACATCAATTTCTTTTAACTGTTGATTAATTTTTTTTGACGCTTTGCGCCATTAATAAGGTAGTAGACCGTTAACGACTGGAGCCGTTAACGATTCTTGAAAATTTCCATGAACGTCGTTATCAAAATTGAGATTGTTAACTAACGGTAATTCAAAACAACAAAAAATAATGCTTTTAACGAAACGAATGTCCCGTTCTTACCTTCAAAATTATCCCGGCTACCTAATTTTTTTCTTTTCTAGCGGTTGGAACTAACTGTTAACAAAATGGCTAGAAAAAGTTGGAACTTGCCCAGCCCTTTGTTTACCTATTTGAGATATGTTACAAATATCTTGGTTTATCAGAAATCTAAAATTCTTGATATTAATTAGAGTTAGATTTGATGGGTGTAGGTTTTCATGAACATGTGGAACATTCTCAGATGGTTCTATAGTAGTGCTGTATGGCAAGGTAGACTCCATGACATAATCTAAATTATAGATTGATTTAAGAAGCGGTTTGAATTAGGTTTCTTCTATAACCGTTAAAATTCATGGCCTCTCTCTCTCTTCCTAAAAAATTTCTTTCAGCGAAAAATTTCGCGAAAATAAACGAAATTTTAGCGAAAATTATGTCAAAAATTTAGTCAAAAATACATCAAATTCGAGAACATTTTTGACGAAATTCGTTTGTCACGTTCACTAAAATTTCGCGAATTTCATTGGAAACCCTATTTTTAGTATTTAAATCACATAAAAAATTGAAGAAAAAAAAGACAAAAAAATCACCATCATTTTGGGAGTTCGCCATATCTTTACAAGTTTCTGCCTCTTGTAGTCCATTATCTAAAATTTAAGTGTATCTACTGGACTGTATTCAGTTTAGAGTCCATTATCTAAAAATTAAGTGTATCTACTGCACTCGGTTTAGAGTAAAGTTAATACATAAATATATATCTATGTAAATATAAATAGATGACCAAACGGCTGAACTAAATTGGCTAACATTTTTAGAATCTTTTTATAAAATTTGAATTTTTTTTCCCATGTGTTTCTAAAATTCCAAAGGCAACGTCCTTGCACTTCATATGGGTATATATAAATGTATATTTTATTATATATAACAGATCCCAAAGGAGTTACGCGCATGCTCTCTCTCTGTCTTTTAATTCAACACTGCCTGCATGGAACTCCTTTGGGCTTCTGCCTCAGGGTTATTGTGGACGAAAAACCCTTAAATCTTGAAAAGACGACATCTGATGCAGACATTTATTTATAAATACATTTCGAGGAAGCGGAACTGCAGTGTACAGGGTTACCCAGAAAGGATGAGAATTTAGAGACGGTTGTGGAGAATTTTTAGTGTCTGTTTCACTATAGTTGTGCAAGTTAGGGTAACCTCCATCTGTAAACTTATGTCTTTCTTTGTCAAATCATTAAATAGGACCTGGCCCTCAAATGACAAAAGGCAAAAGAATCAATTCAACCATGATATCGGCACGATCATAAGAGTTTTAGGTCGTCTTTGCAGTCCCATCATTTGTGGGTAACCCTGTTAGTCAAAGTGTCTACTACATCAAGAAATATAGGTTAACGGAGGAGACTGAGACTTTTAGAGTTTGAAGCAAGTGTCCAGTTCAAAATGGTCTTTGCTCAAGTGATGAGGTGGCTTAAAGGGAGTGAAATAGAAGACGCCCCCCTTGGAAAATATCGGGGATGTTCCCCTCTCAGGAAAATTGGGGGGACACCCTCCCTTTCCTCCCAACAATTTTGGGGGCAATTATAGAGAGGAGAAACCTGAAGCCCTATAATTTTGATTATTAAGAATGAATTAAAACATTTGGCTACAGCCCTACCTGAAGTTCTTTTATCAAAATTTTCTAAATTCTAAACATTTGGCTACAGCCCTACCTGGAGTTCTTTAATCAAAATTTACTAAATTCTAAACATTTGGCTGCAGCCCTACCTGGAGTTCTTTTATCAAAATTTACTAAATTCTAAACATTTGGCTGCAGCCCTACCTGAAGTTCTTTTACCAAATTTACTAAATTCTAAACATTTGGCTGCAGCCCTACCTGGAGTTCTTTTATCAAAATTTACTAAATCCTAAACATTTGGCTGCAGCCATAGCTGGAATTCTTTTATCAAAATTTACTAAATCCTAAACATTTGGTTGCAGCCATAGCTGGAGTTCTTTTATCAAAATTCACTAAATTCTAAACATTTGGCTGCAGCCCTACCTGAAGTTCTTTTATCAAAATTTACTAAATTCTAAACATTTGGTTGCAGACCTACCTGGAGTTCTTTTATCAAAATTTACTAAATTCTAAACATTTGGTTGCAGACCTACCTGAAGTTCTTTTATCAAAATTTACTAAATTCTAAACATTTGGTTGCAGACCTACCTGAAGTTCTTTTATAAAAATTTACTAAATTCTAAAAGGGAGTAATACATTTCAACTCCTACTCCCAGCATGCAGTGTAATTGGTTTGGCAAAAATGACAAAAATCCTATTATAGAATTTCAGCAATGGTAGTTGTTTTTGCCAGAGGGATAATATTTTTTTTGTATCAATTTCATTATTCCCCCCCCATACTTCTCATGGAATATAAAATAAACTGTGCCTGTTTACATGTTTTATATCTGGTAAAATTCAAAATAATTTTTCACCTGACATCAGAGTTATCAAAAGTAAGCAAAAAGATATAACAAGACCAGTACATTTTGTATACAACTTCATACTTGGAAACAATTTGTTAAAGATGTAGGGTTGCGGGGGGGGGGTACAAGGGGGGGTTCAAGGGGGTTGGAGAAATTTCATTTGGCCATTGAAAGGAACTGTAAGCGTAACTTCAAGACGGCAAAGCACCATTCACAATGGTGCCCTTAAAAGATCTGTTTGATCAAGTATGAATTATGATATTCATGTTTATCATTTTCAAATCTGGTTATTTTCAATTGTTGGCTCTCCACAAAAGTGACTTGCAAGTTTCTGCTGCACGAAAACGTATACAAGGAATTATCACAGTTTTAAACACTTTTAAATCTATAAAATGTCAATATATTTCACATTTTTGATCAAATGAAGGTTTCAAGGGTACCGTAGTGTATCGGGCATTGTGATAGCTTTGTATGGAGGGTCACTTGAAGTTACGCTTAGAGTCCCTTTAAGAAGTGTTTATGAACTGGTTTTAGGTAAATAAACCTGTCAGCTAAACAAATTGAGTCTTTGCCACAAGCTCAAATTTAGTTTCTGATCCCTTTATCTTTGGAAGAATTTACAGTTATTAGCATGCAAAAATAATTTGTGTTAAAAAAAAATCTTGAACATGTAACTTTTAAATTTGTACTCGTATTCAAGCACCCCGCCCCTCGCCCTGACATCGATTACACCTTGTTTAAAGTTGTGTCTTGACTGAGCCATGAATCAATTTAAAAAAGTAAGAACCAAGCACATTATTTAAAAGATTTCATGAGGCAGCAGAATTCGGGAAGCAATCCATAAACAAAATTCGACCATAATCAAACTAAATTTAATGTCGACTTTGATTCAATTTGCCCCCTCCCCCTCTAAAAAACCCCTAATTGTCTTTTTTACTTCATGAATGCTATCGCATTTATAGAGGCTTTAAACAGTGATATTAATGTTTATTTTTACCAAGCTCAGCATTTTTATACTGCTAATCTTTGCAGTACGCTTCCAGTGGGCTCATCAATTTTTAGCAATAATTTTAGCTTTTAAATATCACATAACCAGCAAGCTGTTTTTAATTTGGGTTTTCATTTGTAATGCGCAAATCATGATCTGTAGCTGGCTGACAAATCTGTAAAAGTTCTAAACAAAAGAAACGAATTGGTTTGGTCGAACATCAACATAATTTTCTAGTTTCTCTGTTTTTATAAACGCAAGAAGAATGTTATAAATAATTGCGCTAAAACTTAGTAAATGTTGTAAATGTAACATTTCTCAACACATTATTCTTATATTATTACACGTTAGTGGTCTTAATTATTATGCATTTTTTTCATTACATTAAGTGTGAGTTTCGTAATTGCTTTAAAAAATGCAAATGAAATTTAGCTTTTGTTAAATTATTTAATGACATGAGTGTTTTAAAAGAGAAAAAAATATCATTCAAATAATTTTAGAATCATTTGGTTTTCTCTTTGAAGAAAAGATATCAGCGAAAAGATTTATCACGATTAAAGTTTTAAAAAAGATTTTTAGACGAACACATGGGATGAATTCTCGTGCTTTATCATGTAAACGTAAACTTGACATTTTGTATGTTTTCAATCAAATATTTTTTTTTTATTAAGAAGAGTAATTTATAAAAAAAAGGTTTTTAATTTTTTAATTTGTAACTGAATAAATTTGATAAATTAAAACTATTAAAGGAGCTGCTTGACAATAAACCTGTTTCTGGATATACACAACCCTGGCCCTGTTTCTGGATATACACAATCCTGACCCTGTTTCTGGATATACACAACCCTGACCCTGTTTCTGGATATACACAACCCTGGCCCTGTTTCTGGATATACACAACCCTGACCCTGTTTCTGGATATAACCAACCCTGACCCTGTTTCTGGATATACACAACCCTGACCCTGTTTCTGGATAAACACAACCCTGGCCCTTTTTCTGGATATACACAACCCTGACCCTGTTTCTGGATATTCACAACCCTGACCCTGTTTCTGGATATACACAACCCTGACCCTGTTTCTGGATATACACAACCCTGGCCCTGTTTCTGGATATAAAGAACCTGACCCTGTTTCTGGATAAAAAAGAACCTGACCCTGTTTCTGGATATACACAACCCTGACCCTGATTTTGGATATTCACAACCCTGACCCTGTTTCTGGATATACACAACCCTGGCCCTGTTTCTGGATATAAAGAACCTGACCCTGTTTCTGGATATACACAACCGTGACCCTGTTGTTGGACATAAACAACCCTGACCCTGTTTCTGGATATACACAACCCTGACCCTGTTTCTGGATATACACAACCCTGACCCTGTTGTTGGATATACACAACCCTGACCCTGTTGTTGGATATAAAAAAAAACCTGACTCTGTTGCTGGATACACAAAACCCTGACCCTGTTTTTGGATATTCACAACCCTGAACCTGTTTTTGGAAATAAAAAAACCATACTGGATGGGTTTATAACAGAGGAGGGGTTAGTTCAGCAGAAGGTCCAGGAGGAGACCCAATATGCTACTGCCAACTTCAATATCTCTTCATATTGGGAAACCAAATTAAAATAAAAAGAGTACTGAATTCTATTTAAAGAATATTGTTAAAAATTTTAAATTTAAAAATAAATATGTAAAAAAAACAGTAAATAGATAATATATATTTATTCAGTCATGTATTTAAAAGTTAAATAAAGAATAAAACTTGAGACAAAAGGGGGGAAGACATGAGAAGCCAATGCTTTCAAGGGAACCCAGGGCCAGCCCTGGAAAAAAAGAAATTCTTTGAAAATCTTCAAAAAAAATTATTTTTTTTTAAATAGATACCTTGTTCTCATACGCCAGTCTCCAGAAAAATATATGATTAACCCAACTGAAATTATATTTCATTTTAATCATTTTTTTTAACATTTGTTATTTTTTAAAAATTGTACTACCTGAGAAATTGACACCTGAAATAGATATATTTATTAATAAAAAATTAAAATGTTACTTAATATATGACATGTGAAAACCCCAGTTTTTATTGAATACAGGGTTACTCACAAAGAATGAGACTTTAGAGCCGACTTTACAGAGCGTATATACACCCTTTTATCTTACATGAATAACTTCTTCAAATGTAAACTTGTGACTCCCTTTGCTAAATCAAAAAGTATCTGGTATCAATAATATACTATAAATGACAGAAAGTAAAATTCAATAATTCGGATAATCATATTCAATTGAGTTTCAGGTCGTACATTAAGATAGCTATTATCAAAACAGTTATTTGAAATGATTTCACAAATGTTTCAGTTTTCGGTTTGGCCTTTTATCTTATTACATTACAAATTTATTGGTGTTCATTTAGCTAAATTAAAATATATAAGTACCTGAGAAAAATTGAATCGTGGCGGAATATTAAAGTATCAGTTTCTAGAAAAATATTAAAATATCAGTTTCTAGAAACAAATAAAAATTTTTAGTTTCTAGAACATAAAATATTGAAGTATCAATTTCTAGAAAAAAATACTGAATTATGAGTTTCTAGAAAAAAAATTAAAGAATCAGTTTCTAGATATAATGGTAAAGTATCAGTCTAGAAAAATGTTATTGTTATAGATGTAAATTCCGATTCACAATGGTAATACTGTGAACCAAGCATAGTTCACAAATGTAAATAGACATAGTACAGTCACTGCAACTCCAAAGGGTACTGAACTTGTATCAAGTTTGGGTCCTAACCAAGCTAAGCTTCAAAGTGAATTGAAATCTTTTCAAGTTTGTATCCAGACAAGCCAAGCTGAAAAGGTTGTTGAACTATTATCAAGTTTATCATCATTCAGTACAGCTAGGCTGGGCAGAGCTAAGCAAGGATCGATGCAGGAAAGGGAAATCTAACAGCACTTTACACCAAGGGAGAAAGGAGCAAGATCGGCCATGTTGGACCCCAGATAAGACCAGTCGTCATTAAGTATTGAATCAGAGGAATCTCATGGAAATACATTTCCCACAGGCGGATGTCCTGTTACATAAGATCTAATTTATTAATTGATCAACCGTTTGTACTGTTTAATCTGTAAATATAGTTTTGTGTGCAAACATGAGTCGTTATTCCACTCAATCTTGGTACTTTACTTTCAGTCCTTTTCTCAAGTCTTTACTCTATAGTACCTTTCAAACCTTTTGTCAACAATTATTTCTTGCATGAGAGACAAGGAAGGAAGATGACAGCATATATTTCTTTTTTAGACGGCGATATCTTTCTTGTTGTCTCTAAGATAAAATAAACATTGTGAACTTGTGAACCGAACACGTCGTTCTTTACATGGAAGTATAGGGTTTCCACGAAATGTGTGAGAGCTTGCACATCTTGATCTGCAGCATGGGCCATCATGCACCATGTTGCAAAGTAGAGTTTTAGGCAAGTAATCAGTTCCTTTCAAGCATTGCAATTATATGCAAAAAAGTGCAATCTCATAAAAAACTAATTTACACAGTTTACACCTTTAATGAGGAGATTTTTTCCGCAAAATAGAATAACGCAAAAACGGAATAGCTCAAGTTTGCGAATGATTGCGCAAAGTGCAATTTTTTTGCGCAAAAATGTAGCGCAACGAAGGCAAAAATTTGCGCATCCTTCCGCAAAAATTGCGCAAAAGTTTTGCGAATAGAAACCCTTTGTGGAAGAATTAGGTTGAAATAACAGTCATTTAACAAAGAAAAAAACCGCCGCGAAAACTTTTATTTGTTACGGAAATATTTGTTATGCAACTTTTCAGATGTTAAAAATTTTTCACATTTTCTGAAGAATATTTTACCTAAAGATTTAATGTTTATTCCAGCTGAACTACGCAGCAAACCCGTCACAAAAACATCATCTAGAAAGATTATTCTCAAAATACGTAAGTTCACAAAAATCTCAAGATAACAATATTAAAAGTGTCATAACACAAACCTAAAAACGGGCAGCTTTTTAAACGTCATAAGAAATTCAAGATACAAAAGAAATCGTGGCTAAAAATTTACTGGGCTGCTTTGTCGTGACGCTTAGTTTGGTTCAGATATTGTCATAATCTAACCTTATCCAAAATAAAGAATATCAATAAATCTTTTATGCTTTACCCTTTGAAATAAATGTTCAATATCTCCAAAACTTTAGGCCTTGACATTTTTGATTTGGAAGTGTTTTTTTGTTTGTTGTTTTAATTGTGCTAAAATAGGGCGCTGTTGATTTCAAGCGTAAAAAGAAAACATTTAGTTTAACTGTTATACATTTTACAGGGTTACCTTCTTTTAATTTGTCAGCTGACAACATCAAATATTGATATATTTTAACATTAAAACGTTTTATTGTAAATTAATTATTGTTCTGAATAAACATTAAACATAACGTTTCAAGTTGATTTTATGAATATTTTTGTCGAATCATCTTAAATCTTGTTTTCTTGGAAGTTCAATTTGGCATTATCATTATCCAAGTTTATGTTTAAATTTATATTTATTTTTACTTAAAGTTTTAGTTTTTACTCGTAATATTTTTGGGTTTTTTTCTTCTTCTTTTCAAATGGTGTTTTCCTTAACTTTTAGAATATCTAATACAATTTTTGTTTCAGATTTTCAGGTAAAAATAACAAGAATAATTTAAAATAACAAAAGAATTTAGTCTTAGTCACAAACCCTGATTTTCTAATCCCTTAATGTCCACTCCTGTATGCCGAGTCCATTAGCGCCTGATTCAATTAGGGTTAAGCCATGTGATTGTTGTCTATATTCTGAACCAATAGGAATAGTATGGCGGTAACACCTATCTTTCTCTCTATTTCATTATCCAAGATATAAATCCTTCAATCGGCGCTATCAGTAAATGGAAATATTTACTTCTGCTGAAACTATGGTATCATATTGCAAAGATATATGGATAAAAATCAGAGTTTGTGGCTAGATCTCAGAGCAAATGAATTGAGTCTTTGACACAAACTAAATTTTCCAACCCCCCATATCTTTGCAACCAGATGACGTAAACCTATGTTATTTCAAACATAAAGCTAACACAATTCTTAGTTTGAAATATCTAAGGACTACGACATTGGGCCTTGCAAAGATAAAACCTTATTCTAAAATCTAAGTTTGTGACAGAGACTCCAATCCTTGAAATATTACCTATGTGTATAAAAGGAACATGTTCGGTCTGAAAAATAATAAACTTAGTTTAAATTGAACTAAATTATATCGGATATTTTTCCGTATTATAATAACTTTTTACTTTTACTTTTTACTTTAAGTTGTGATCTAATAAAAAAGTGTTTTTCTTCTTGTTAAAAAAAATAGTGTTAGCGCTAGCTGCAGTTACTTAATTATTTAATCAATTAAGTGGGACTGTTTAAACTGTCGTCTTAATATTCCAAAGGTTTCTGGTTCTCACTGTACTTCTGATTATTGTATAAAACACCTGATCTAATAATCTTGTGACTATTGTAGGTTCAATTATGTAAACCCAACCAAGGCAGTAGGATGGCATTCCACTCTGAATAAAACAATTGCACTGTTAGAAATATGTGCTCGAAATATCAAAAGTAATAGAAGACAATTCTACCTGTCTAACACTTTGATAGCATTTGGCGTGCATATTTTTATATCAATCTGATAGAATTTATTTTTTAGGCTAAAGTCAAATATCGCTATGATAGAATATTGGTAAACACTTTGACTGGATTAAATAAGACGTTTATAAAATTTATAAATAAAAGAAAATTCTGTCGAATAAAAGATGGGTTGATAAAAAAGGCTTAAAGTAAGTTTTCAGGATTTTATGAAGACTGTTGATAGAATTATCATAACACTTCGATAAAACACTTTACCGGAACAAATCAAAAAAAAATTAGCATTAAAGAATTATTTAAATTTTTAAAAATTAAAAGTTGCCAATAAATCATGTCTCTGCAATCTCAATATTTTAGTAAGTGAAATTACTTAATCTATTAAATATGTAAGGTTTTAAATTATGAAAAATAATAAAATCTAGAATTAAACCTGGGGCCACTGCTCTGCTGAGATATGAAACTTTTTAGGACAGTAATCAGTAAATCTAGAAACACGTTTTTAAAATTTGTTAAACCAACATTTGAGGGAGCTGTAATCTTGTTTCTTTCACTTTCAAGTGAAAGAAACAAGTGTAGCATTTAAACAATATAAATATTGAAGTCAGAAAACCAAACTCAACTTCAGATAAGCAAACTTTATAAGTTTCAGGTAACCCTGTATGGGTAGCCCATGTATGTTACACAAAGAATAAGCAGGATTAAATTACAACTCTCTGCAAGGAGGGATGCAGATGTTTTAGAATCTAGAACTGATGAATTTGGCAACTTATGGAGGTACCGCTAAACAACTTTTTTTAAATAAAAAAAAATCAATTTTTAATAAAAAAAAGTTTTAGATTTTAACTTGCCTGCTACGCTTGATATTATGTAGAGGATAGCAGTGAATATTCTGTGTATTCCTGGGTATCGACTGTACTGTTCTTCTATATTAATTCAATTTTTTTTCGAGGTGGCAATTAACGTCAAAACAGTTAAAATTGGGCTAACATTTTTGTCGGGTACTCACATGATAGCTGCAGTAAACAAAATTAACGTTAATTCTCCTCCTTTCATTATCGTGAATGCTTCCCTTACTTTTTACAGTAAACACTCCCTTTACTCTTTACAGTAAACACTCCCTTTACTCTTTACAGTAAACACTCCCTTTACTCTTTACAATAAACACTCCCTGTACTCTTTACAGTAAACACTCCCTTTATACTCTTTACAGTAAACACTCCCTTTACTCTTTACAGTAAACACTCCCTTTACTCTTTACAGTAAACACTCCCTTTACTCTTTACAGTAAACACTCTCTTTACTCTTTACAGTAAACACTCCTTTTACTCTTTACGGTAAACAATTTACCATTACTTAAAACCTTTAGATTCTGTTATGGTTTAATAAAAAAGCTTACATTAGTTCTTGTAAGTTGATGGTTAGGTCGTCATCCATTTTTATTACAAAATCAAGATTTGAAGTCTCAAAAAACTTTAATCCTGATAATGTTTTGTACACCAGATTTTCATACGATTCTGAAATATACAAAATCACATTGAAGCTAGAGCATACAGAGAGACCCATCAAACTGTGGAAAAGAAGTGCAACTGACCTTTGATATCCAACATCATTATATCCTTGTATTCTTGAATTTCATCAGAAAGACTTCTTGTATAAACATTCTTTCCAACAACAAACAACATCTAAACAATATCTTTCCAACAACAAACAACATCTAAACAATATCTTTCCAACAACAAACAACATCTAAACAATATCTTTCCAACAACAAACAACAAATAAACAATATCTTTCCAACAACAAACAATATCTAAACAATATCTTTCCAACAACAAATAACATCTAAACAATATCTTTCCAACAACAAACAATATCTAAATAATATCTTTCCAACAACAAACAACATCTAAACAATATCTTTCCAACAACACATAACATCTAAAATTATCTTAACAACAAACAACATCTGAACAATATTTTTTTAACAACAAATAACATCTAAACAATATTTTTGCAACAACAAATAACATCTAAACAAAATCTTTCCAACAACAAACAACAAATAAACAATATCTTTCCAACAACAAACAACAAATAAACAATATCTTTCCAACAACAAACAACATATAAACAATATCTTTCCAACAACAAATAAAATTTTCTAAACAATATTTTTTCAACAACAAATAAGATGCATCTTTATAAACAATAATAAATATCAGTTTAAGCTTAAGCTCGCCTGAACCGAGAAACCAGATTCTTGAAGTATATTTCGTAAATAACTTCTTCTTTCTTTGTTCTCAGGCATTGTTAAAACCAGCAGTCCAATCTTTAATCCTGAAAAGTGAAAGTTTGAGTCCAATATTTAATCCTAAATTGAATAGATTTCAGTCCAATCTGTAATCCTGAAGAGTATAAGTTTAAGCCCAATCTTTAATCCTAAAAACAAGTTTAAGTTTAAGAGTCCAATTTTTAATTCTAAAAACAAGTATAGGTTTGAGTTAAATCTTAAATCCTAAAAAATAGTAAGTTTCAGTCCAATCTTAATCCTCAAAAAAAGTATGAATTCGTAAACTTAATCCTGAATTAAAGCATAAGTTGGAGTCCAATCTTTTATCCTGAAAAGTATAAGTTTGTGCCAAAACTTAAATCTTAAAAAAAGTAAATGTGCAGGAGTTTAATTCTTAAAAATATTGAAAAATTTAATAAATCATAAAAGTTAAAAAAAGTATGAGTTTAAGTCAAATCCTTAATCCTAAATAGCTCATCTATATATGTATATGCTTTTCTTGTCCGGGTGTCTGTCTGTTTGTTTGACAGCATCGACAATTCTATAATTTTAGAGGAGTTTTCGTTTTTTAGGGACTAGCTTAAGATGATATTATAAAATATGCATTTTTTATATTTTTTTGCTGTCGCAAGTGGCATAAATCTGTGTGAATAAAGATCAAAGAGACTGTGCTTTTAATTTCAAGATAACCTACATTTAAAGAGAGGATTTAAGTTTAACAACGGTATTAATTATTAAACCTTTGTCTGATCAAGATGAATAAACATGGTTACACACAAAGAATGAGACTGTAAAGACGACCGTAAAATCTAAAATATGACGATTTGAAGCTTGATTTTTACTCAAATAAGGAAAAAACATGTCATTCTTAATATAAAAACAAAATATACAGTAAATTCCTGCACATTACCCTTAATTCGTCTTTACAAAATGTATAGTCTTCTTTTATTCCTTCTTTTTAAACGGAAAAAAATATGAAATAAGATAACACAAATTTGAAATAAGATAACAAAAATATGAAATTAGATAAAAAAAATTAAAAAAAATTAGATAACAAAAATTTTAAATTTGATAACAAAAATTTTAAATCTGATAACAAAAATCGCATAAATAAAATATTCCTGTCAATCTAGTCAAGCCTTGAAATATGAATGTAAGATTTTTCAGATTACTCCTTTTTAAACTTAAAATAGAAACAAACGCTTTGCCGTCCTAGGACTACAAAAAAGTATAAGTGAGTTATAAATGTAAAACCAACGTACAAGGGGTTACAACGCTTCAAAAACGACCAGATCTCGGAAATTAATGCACAAAATGCAACTGTCTGGATCTCTGTGTTCTTATCCTGTAATTTAATGAAAAACTCTCATATCTTGAAAAAAATCCATTTAACTTTTATTATAATTATACAAGTAAGTGTATTGTGTACAGTGTACAGTGTACAGTGTACAGTAATGAGTAAGATGATAAACAGTGAGAAAACTTAGGACTGAATGTCTTTGTTTCCACCTTTCGCTATTGATTTTCTAATTTGCAATGAGTTACAACATATATCTATACAAATGCTTCAGGCACCTATACAGTAATACAGGGTGTCCCACGAAACATAACAGTTGGTAAATAGTTTTGAATGTCTTCTTAGTTCTTCCATATACTGTATTAGATTTTATAGACTTTTTGCAGTTTAATTTATAGTTTAAAAATATTTTAATCAAATATATTTTACCTTGAAATCAATTTTACTATACTATAGGCTGGCATGAAATTTTTTTATTCTCTTGGGGTTCAAACAACTTAACAAACTATAGGAAGAAGACATTTCTAACTTTTCACCAACTGTTATGTTTTGTGGGACACCCTGTAGTTGCGAACTAAATACTAAGCAGTATTTTATAATTAGAGGATAAAGGAAGAAGAAATCTCAATGTATGTGAGACAAATTGTCTGTTTTACGTGATCCGAAGGCTGCAAGTTCTCATACAAAAATTAATTAGGATTCTGCCAATTACTTCTCAATAACTTAAACTATAAAAGATTGCTTTATATTTTTAAAATATGCATTTCTAAGGCTACAAGAAAATAGAAAAATTCGCAAAGTTGAGACAAACATATTTCCAAACTCTAGATTAATTAGATATGACAAGATAATCTTATATTTTTTGCACGATTTTATTTAAATCTCTCCGATCAGAAACGGTATTTTATCAAAAAAAATTCTAAGAAAAACAATAGGGTGTCCCATAAAACATGACAGTTAATATTCTCGAATTAATTAATACTAAATATAGCTCAGGTCCTGCCATTTCCAAAATGTGGCCTGTCATTTTTGTGCTTTTAAAATTACCGGAAATATTAAGAATTTTGTCCAGAATTTGACAATTTTGATTTCATATTATAATATTGAAATCTGAACAAAATTCTTAATATCTCCGATAATATTGAAAGCACAGAAAAGGCAGACCACATTTTAGAAATCCCAAGACTAGGTTTTGTGATTAAGAATTCAAGAATCATAATTGTAAAAGTAGGTCAAAAAAGAATGCAGCATATTATTTCTAAGATAAAAAACAATGTTCAAGCTCTTTCTCTTCGTGATTCACGGGACACCCTGTACATGACAAACGGTTAAATCTTGATTAGCAATAAAATTATCATCCTTTAGTTACTTAATGATTTATAAAGCATACATTTGGTTGAAACCAATGAACCATGTGAAAAAAAAAATATATAAATTATCATCATGGGACACTAAACCAAATTCTTGCCAGTCATGGTTCTTTTTGAACCTTAAATCCTGTAAATTGCTATTTGAAAAAATTACGTGACAATAAATATTTGAAATGATAATACAGATCTGGAAACAGAGGATCTAGAAATAGGGGCGTAATTATGAATTAATCCAGGGGGGTACTAGCGGGAGGGAGTAGCCTAGTACAGTGTCAGGGGTTGAAACCAGAACCTTTTCAAGGGTGGGGCTTTAACTCTCCCCCCGTATACACCTTGAAACAAGGTTAGACTGGAGTTGGCAAGGATGTAATGCAAGGAAAGCTATTTCAGAGGTGTACACATCTTTTGTACTGCAGTGTACTGTCACTGGGCGGTAATGTAAAACACAAGACGGATGTCGAAGCCTGACATGGGATCCATTTTTCACATAAATAAACAATTAAATGTTCTGGTCATAGGAAACTATTATGTGAATTATCAAAGTTATCAAAATGCAATTCTAAATTTTAACCATAGAGAATAGAATATATAGAGAGGAATTAAAAGAATCCCTCGTTATGAATTTTTTCAGTCCCTTTCAGCCTGAAAGGGAGTTCAAAGTGTACAAATCATGTAAATGTTCACAAATTATGTGCAGTAGAGTACATTAATACAGTATGTTCCCTAGACTATTCATTTCAATTTCGAGATGTCGAAGTCTGACATGGGATCCATCTTTCACATAAATAAACAATTAAATGTTCTGGTCATAGGAAACTATTATGTGAATTATCAAAATTATCAAAATGCAATGCTAAATTTTAACCTCCTCGGATACTAAACGAACACTGATGCATCTATTCTTGTTTACAAATTCCGCCCAGAGAGAACTGGTTTCAATATGTACGCAGAGTATACGCAACTGCAATTAACTTTCCTTACATTACATTCTTGGGAATTGGGAAATAAACCTGGAATAAAGCTTGAACTACGAATGAAATGTCGTCTTCTCCGTACCTGAAGTTTGCACAAGGCTGGTGTTCTGTGAATATTTTAATGGTTCAAGCAACACATTCACGTCTTCGGCTTTTCTAAATTCCTGAATGAAATGATCCTACCTAGTACAATGGAACCCCTGACACTATGAAAAAGGAAAACGACCCCCAGACTCAAGGTATGATTTAGAATAGTCCAATGAAAATGAAAAATACAATAACTTTACAACTACAAATACTCATAAGATCGGTTATATATCGTCTTCCTACTCCACAGTTCCATTGGTTGGGTACCACTGTAGATGGTTTTTATATTGCTTAGTATTGAACCCAAAACACATTAAAAAAAAAATTTGTAAAAACTATTAATTTTGAGATTTTAAATTTATGGTCTCCTGTAGATAACCTTAAAAGTTAGGTGATACTTTTGGTATTTAAATCTTTCAAATGAACCTACAACTGTCTTACAAATTACAAACTACTTAATACTCTTTTCATTCATAATTCATCAAAAACATTTTCGGACTCGATAATTTATGTTCATGTCACCTTATTCTCTAGTACAGCTTGAACATTTCTGAAGGTTGAAGTCTTTGTTTTAAATGTAAATATTTAAGGGGGAAATTTTTATAATTGAACTTTTATTTGGATTGGTATCAAGCATTGAGTTAGCATCATGGAGAGCGATGATTAAAGTAACTAAAGGCGGATTAGATGTTTTAATGGTAAATTCTTATTTAATAGATAGATAAATCGGACGCACACAGTCGGAGACGTCATCTGGTCGACCGGTTGAGAAGAAACATACTCTGACAAGCTTTCCAAAATGTGGGCTACCCTTTTTTATAGAGCGGGAGAAATTAAATATTTTGACAAGTTTTCTTTTCTCAATTGAAATCTGGAAACATTTCTTCATATCTCTGTTTTGAATATACGAAAATGGCAGACAATATTTAGGAAATCTTAAATTCAAATATGAAATAATAATAATGGAATAATGATAATAATATTCTTTATCTTAATTGTGTTCCAGAAAAAGTGCTGCGTGGGTCAAATATGGTTTTGACGTCGTAGCTTGATTCCCATGTTTTAGGAAGAACCATGCATTTTACATGCTTCAATATAATTTGTAATTATAAAAGACTTGAATTTTCCTAATTATTTGTAAATCTGAATTTTTATCCAACCATTCCTGTCGAAGCACACAAAGTATTTTAATCCTAAATATAAATATAATTAGAAATGAAAAGATGAAAATATAAACTTATGTTTTTTTTTAGAAATTTTGAGAGCCTCGTTAAATTAATAAACTTTAATATTTTTCCTTTGTGAAATTTTAGCAAAACTTGAATTGTGTAATTAATTTTTCGAGCGTCTAATAAACTCAAGCATTCCTTTAAAGGGGTGGTCAACGTAAGTTAAAGTGGCCTCCAGTTAAAGAGTTGTATGCATAATATTCTATAAACCCTTATATGAGCAGCTAAGAGGGAGAATTTATTGTGGAAAAATACTGAATACTGACTCCGGAAATTATAAAAATGTCTTAATTTGTACACGATAAAATATTGATAAATTTAAGAACAAAAAATGGTTAAAAATATATAAAAGATTGATGTATTGTTAGTTGATATTTCTAACTATTGTAATTTGAGTATTTAGTATTTAACCCTATAAAGGCTCGGGGGTCTGAATCTATGTATAGCCTGGGGGGACCTTTGGCGCCCCCCCTAAAAATAGACCTTAGAGAATATAGGTATAGGGTTGAAATGCATGTTCATAGCCAAATTTTTCATAACCAGCTCAAAGAAAAATATTTAGAAAGATAACTTTAATAGTTTGGGTGCTAGGGAGGTTAAAAAAAATGCCTACAAAGGGTAAAAAAAAATGTTTTAAACAAATATCAAAGTGTGACACATGTTTCTACATTTTTCAAGGGCTTTTCCAAAAATATAGTTTTTAGATCTGGAGCTTCAGTCACAAATAAGTTATGGGCTATTTTAGATTTTTTTTACAAAAAATTCTTTAAATTACTTTTCATTCTAAGTCACAAAATTTCACAGTGATAGTGTCAAAAATGAGAGTGCTAGGACAAAAAACTACAGAGGGGGGCGCCAAACGCCCCACCCCTCAGCCTCTTTAAGGGTTAAGACGTTAAGGATTTGTGTGGGGGGGAAGATGTTCAAATCTTATTTCTTAAAAATAATTTAACTATGTGTACTGTGCATACTCTGTAATTGAACAATGTGTACAGTGCATACTCTGTAATTTTATCTGCTCTTTGAATTGTAAAATACTCGAAACAATTTGAAAACGGGACTGTCAAGCGTACAGTGTATAAATGCATTATATAATTGCATATTCATTTTTATGCATTGAAGTTCAAGCTCAAACTAAACGTATCGGACAGGATTGAAGTTAATCCTATCTAGGAAAAGATAACCATTGAAAGGCTGGAACGGGGGGGGGCAATTGCCCCTCACTTGCCCAGTTTTTTTCCTTCAGATCCTTTTTTATCATTCCCTTTCAATTATGATATAGGAACTGAAATTATCAGTATTAAACACACAAGCCAAAAAAGGACACAGTCATCCACATAGTTGATTAAATAAGGTTTACAGGGTGCTAATGTTAATCAGGCGTGCTTCTTTAATTAATTGAGGTCACTTGAAATGACAATGTTAGTCCCATGGACGGAATTTTCTAACAATTACTCTTAAACTTTGAATGCATGAATAAACCTTATATAAATATCGTGAAAATATAGGATATCCCACAGTTTAAAAAATAATTTGTTAAGAACTAAATTTTGCACTTTTAAAAAAGTCTCACAAGTCGCAAGCACAATGACTATTGCAGTTTTTAATCCCATTGATTTCAATTTGAAGGATATACACACTACACAAGGTGTCCCACAAAATATGACAGAAGGAGAACGACTAGAATGTCGTCTTGATTTTTGATATAATTTGTTGCATTTATTTGTCAACCTAATTTTGAAGTAAAATACCTAATTAATTACAAATACCTCTAGTTCAAATTTCCAAAATGTGGTCTTTATTTGTGCTTTCAATATTTCCCAAGATGTGAAGAACTTAGTTTAGATTTCGACAATTTTGGTTTTATTTTACAGAATTGAAATCTGAACAAACTTCTTAATATATCCGGTAATACTGAATTAGCACAAAAAAGGCAGACCAATTTTTTTGGACATGCATGAATAGGAGAATTATGTGGTAACTGTTTAAAGAATCATGCATGTTAAAGTAGATTGACGACCGACGACTAAATTCAAATTTCATGTTTCGTGAGACACCCTGTATACTAACTGATACTAACCCTAAGCAGAGGGAAGCCAAAACTTTAGACGTTTTCATTTCAACCAAATTAGAAATTATCTGAAAAAAATACATTTCTAAAGTTAGTTCTAAAAAAAATTTGAATTTGAAATATTGAAATTATATGTTGAAAAATAGGAACCCCTGTCCGTTCCCACTCACCTTTAACCCTTCCCACTCACTATAGTTCTAGTAGAAGTAAATATTTCCATTTAAAGGATTCATATCTCTAATTGGATAATGAGATAGATAGAAAGATAGATGTTACCGCCATACTATTTCTACTGGTTCAGAATAGACAACAAACACATGACTGAACCCTGATTGGATCAGGCGCTAATGGACTGGGGCATACGGGAGTGCACTTTCAACCCATCGCTTCTCACTTTCAAGCCTTCCATTCCACTTTTATCCTCACATTCTCACCAACTCTTTAATTGTCGGTATTTTTTTAAAGTCTTCTTTTGATATCTAAACTTTTGTGGGGAACTCCCCCCCCCCTTTATTGATAAAAAGAACCTGTTCCAGAGAATTCAAATTTAGAAAGCGAACCATAGTAAATAGTTATCTTTAGGCGAAAAAGTGGTCAATAAGGTCCAATTTTAGATTGTAAAACTGCGAAACCATTTCTTTTGTAGAAAGTGACACAGGTTCAGAGATCCCCCACAGCCCAGATTACTAGGATTAAAAGCTAGTGCAGTGCAATGAAGCGGTAATTCATAATTTTGATAAAAATATTTGCAACTACATTACATGATATGCCACTGCACACTCCTGAAATCTAATGATAACTATGTTTTACTTCGTCTAATTGTTAGCATTGGTTGTTGCCAAGGTTATAATGCAAGGAAAGTTATTTCAGAGGTGAACGCATCTTCTGTACTGCAGTGTATTGTCTCAGGCCGGTAATGTAAAAATGTCGAAGCCTGACATGGGATCCATCTTTTACATTAAAATTAATGAAATATTCTGATCATCGTAAACTATTATATGAATTATCAAAATTATCAAAATTTAATACTTTTAACCTCCTCGGATACTAGGCGAACACTGATGCATCTATTCTTGTTTACAAATTCCGCCCAGAAAGAACTGGTTTCCATATGTATACAGTACACAACTGCAATTAACTTTTCTTGTCTTTTAACAGGCTCAACAGACAAACTGATAGATTTAACATTTTTCCAAAGTTTGCTTTTACTTTACTGAAAAAACTTTGACTCTGAGAAACGAAAATAAGCTATATTGAGAAGAACAAAAATGTTTTAAATTTCTTTATTAAATTGGATAAATTTGATTTTTCATAAAGTTAAACTGGAGGAGCTGAAAAGGCAAAAGTCTAAGCAGTAATGTTGTATAAATTTTACCTTCTCTTTCTTTCTCTAGACCTAAAACTTCTAAAATCTCTTTTTGGGGTTATAGAGAACTGTCAAGTAATTTCTATAGTGTAATATGTTATGCCCGATCCACAACGGTACCCTATGCACTTTATCTGAGTAACAATGAGGCAGATATCCTCGTTTTTCTATCTGAAACGGTACTTCTGGAAATGTCCTTCATTGCTTTGCATGAATCCTTGCAGATCACTTTTATTCAAAAACCAAAATTTCAAATTGTCAGTTNCTGGATTGTGAATCAGACATGTAACTAAAGACACGTGTACAGTCCTGGATTGTTAATCAGACATGTAACTAAAGTCACGTGTACAGTCCTGGATTGTGAATCAGACATGTAACTAAAGTCACGTGTACCGTTCTGGATTGTGAATCAGACATGTAACTAAAACTAAAGGTCACTTAAAATTACGATAACAGTCTCTTTAAAAAATGGTTTTTTTTTAATTTGAAAGAAGAGTTTCGGATCTTTCACGAGTTTGAGATTTGCACAATTTCTTCAATCCCTTGTGGAAGTTTCTCTTAAATTGTTTTTCTTGAGCAAAAAAGCGGCGTCTAGAATTCTTAAATTTCAGGCATTCTAAATATTTCGTAAAGCGGCATTTTTAGAATAATATCATTTATTTGGCATTTGCCAAAAAAGACGATCTTTCTTAAAAGATAGAATATATAGATACATGTTTGCTTCAGTTTTCAGGACATACTGGGCCAAATTATTAATAGATTTAGGTATCAGAATGTAAAGATTTTAGTACAAAGTGTAACAAATTCTTCATTATTTTAGCACTGTATAGTTCACTCCCCCTACCCTGCTTTTTTCATTTTTTGATGAACAACACAACAGTGTAAAATACCTCTTTTACTCTATTGTAACTGCCACTGTGTTTATAAACTAAATGATGATATTTTTTACTAAAGTTTGATCTTTACAGAAGCGTATAGTTCTGCTACTCCCCCCCCCCTTCCTGCAATCATACGCTTCTCATAACTTCAAGGGACCAGAGAGAGAGAGAGAGAGCTAGGAACAGATAACTATAACTCCAGGCCCAGAGCTAGGGGGGCACAGGAGCACGTGAACCCATCCCCCCTTCTTAGAGAAAAAGGAAACGAAATGAAGACAAATTGAAACTAGAAGTTGCAATTTATAATTTTAGTATTTCAATGTGTTTGTGTCCAGAGCAGGGAATTCTTGTATTGTGGATATCGAGATCAATTCTTGATATCGGCCTTTTTAAATCTTAACATTAATTTAATATGTATTCAATATCAGAGGTGAAGTACGGGAAACTAACAGCCAATCAGATGCCAAAGAATTTTGCGCTCAAGTAATGAAAGAACCAATGATAGATTCTCTGTAAAATTCAAAAGTGCACACCATAAATATCGAGGTAAAGAGGTTGGGGTTATTGGTTTTCAACACAAAAGGTCCCAGCATAGTCCTTCAATATTTTTATA